TTTCTTTGCTTATGAAATAAAGCCTGTTCAAGGGCGTTCTTCTGGAGTGGTTTTGACATTTAATGTTAGAAAGAGGGACCGTGGTTCACACTCACGGTCCTTCTTGCAAAGCTGCAAAGGATCAAGTGATTACACCAGCTCAGTAAAGGACAAAACCCAAATGTCAGAGTTACTAGGACAGGGCAGAGAACAAAGCAGAGCAGTGTTGTACCACTGCATAATTCAGTGATGTCTGTATCCAGAATGGCCTTTGCAGCCTGAAGGAGACAACTATAGGTACACTCAGGATCTGTAGGCACAAAGAGCATGGAAGAAGATGGGTGGGGATCTGTGGCTCACTGTCCCTTGGGAAAGAATTAGGAGGTCTCAGATGGCAGTGACCAACCATTCTTCAGTGGTAAGTTGTCTTTACCATAATATTCTATTTTAGGCTATTTCTGCAGTTTGCTAAGATCAACCTAATTTTTGGCCTTATCTCTGCTGTTAAAGATATTCTTGTTGCAGCCATCTTTTTTTTGTTGTTGTTGTCTTTTGTTTTTTGTTTGGCTTGTTTGCTAATGTGGGAAGAGTGGTATGTTGGTTGTAGGATGGGGTTAATCCTTTTTAATGTGGTTTCTTGAATTTTTGAGGAATCTTTGAGCTGCTTGGATTTTTGTGACAGAGGATTAATGTCAATAAGAAATGTGAAATCAGGACATCACAAACCTCCTCATTCCTATGCTCTCATACCATGCTGGTCCCTGGAGAAGGGGAGGCAAGGAGAGAGCATACATCTTGGTCTCACTAGGGAAAAAGGAAAAGGTTAGTTTAGATTTTCTCTCTCTATTCTATAAATGCCTCTGTCAGACCTAATGGTTCAAGCGCTCGAGTGCTTTGGCTTGTATTTCGCCCATTTTATTAATAAAATTAGTAGATTTTGTGCCTTCTATCTAACCATGGATGCTTTTGAGCATCAACAAACAGAAGATAGATGTCATGCCGGAACAAATAAGTCATTTATTTGTGTGACTTAAAAAAAAATTATTCTGGCCCCTTTACAAATGCAGGGTCTGTACAAAATTAGGTTTTAGCACCATTTGATTTTTTCCCTTTGGCTTCCACTTTTCTGTTGCTGCTGATTCTCCCTTCTTAAAGAAAAAAAAAAAAAGGCAGGTTGGCTTGAAGAAGGAGGGGGGAAAAAAAAATAAAAGAGAGGAATACCTGAGAAATAAGCCCACAGGGGAGCTTAGTGGCTGCCAATCTGCCTTTCCTTAGTGTCATGATTTCTAGAAATGTGGTGCCATCTTCTCCTTTACTCTTTCAGAGACTTAACCTTGTCTTCCTCCCTCCTCATTAGAGCCAAGGGCACATCAATCAGTTTATTTATTTTACTTTCTGTCAGATGCATTTTATTCTCTCCCACACATTTATGCATTAGTTGCCTTGAAAGTAGCAGATAAGAGCAGATTCCAGTCAAGATTCAGTGTCTGGAATTGTTCAATAGCTACCTTGACCAGCAGCAGTGTAGTCTAGGATTTGCTTTGAGGGGCTTTGGGGAGCGTGTTCTGCTCATGCTTAATGCTTCATGCACATCAAAGAGGAGTAGCTGTGAATGGATCTGAGTATCAGGGGCAGAACAGAATGGTCGGAAAACTTGGCTGGGGAGCTTCTGGCAGGCTGTTTAAGCCTTCCAGGTAGAAATGTTTAGGGGTCACAGCTCTTCTTTACTTGTCAGGAGGGAAATAATTGGAAGTGTAATGTTTTGTCACATAAGCCAGAATCCCCAAGGCACAAATGTATATCACATTTTCTTGTGTGTATCGACTCCTGTTTAAGAACAGCTCTTGGCAGCACACTTCCTTTCGCTGTGCGTGGGGTACAAGTTGTGTTGGAGATTTTATTGATGTTTTTGTGTGAGGAATTCAGACTTGAGAGCTGGGGGAGATCTGGTGCATACCTCACAATTACCATATCCAGCGTTTAGCCCATTTAGATGTCATTTGTGTTTTATCAGGGTATGCCATTCAAACTGGAGATTTTAGATGCTTAGCATTTCTCTCTCAAATTACATAGGCTGCAAATGTGTGCTACAAGCATCCAAACTCTCCATCTTTTCCGGGCTGTCACGTACAGTGAGGTTGCATTATGTCTGTTCTGGAACTGGGTTGGGGTAGAGAGGAAGTGCTTAGAATTTAAATTGGAAAAAATCAAAACTCTCCCTTTCCGTGTGGGTTTCTGAAGCAGCACAGGCCTGTTTCAGTTCTGGATAGTGGTTGCTGGTGAAGCCAACCTGCCTTTAGGATAGTCCTGACTGGAAAACTCAGGCAAAATACAGCCTCCTGTACCGAGCTGTCTCAGTGGATACGGAGTTTAACATCATTCAGAAGCATTTGCTGTTTTTCTGTTTGACAAACTCCCATGCATTCCTTGGAATGTATTTTAGGTGCTCTGCAGAGAGCATTCCCATGGCCTGTTTGAGGCATATCCTGGTACTTCCTGAAGGGTCCTGGAATACACCAGTCGTGGTTCAGAGCCAAAGCAGGACAGCGTTTCCCTGTCCTGGCTGGACACCGGTTCTGGCCCACTCTGATTTATTGAGGTGGCAAAGTGCACGAGCTTACAGCATTTATGATTTCTTAATATTTCCAAAGTGGAATTTCTTTCAAGATTTATGAGATCTAAATATCCTCTAATTTGCTCCCTTTTTCTCCCATATGGATATAATATTTCCCCTAAACTGTTCCTTCTCCTCCTTAAATGAAGCAAAAGTATGAAATAAAAGTCTGTCTCCCTGGCTCTGTATACAGTAGTGTTAAATATTGCCAAATAATAGTAGCTGGTCTAAGGCTAATATGTTCCTTGCTAGGATAAACCCTAAATTTACTTTTAACAAGTATGATTAAAAGGCTAATGGTCATTTCAGCCTTCTCTTTGGCATCAGTTTGGTCCCCTGGTCCAAGCAGAAGGGACATGATAGAGCATCAAATCAGTCATGCTTGAGCTTCAGCTGATTTTGGGAACTCCCCTGGAGTCCAAGGAGTTCTAGAAGGATCTGAGTTCCCTCCTCATTTTACCAGCCCCAAGGCTGTGACCCCCAGGCAATGCTGTCATCATCCCTCACTGCAGCTGCTGCCTGGGGAGAACAGGGACCAGTCTGTGTGACCTGCCTTCTGCTGTATGTTCAAGTGGTGGCTGTCAAGGAAGAGCTGTGAACATTTCTGCCGTAGCCCTTCAGGTTATAAAAGCTCTTGCACTGTAGGAGAGTCATGCAAAGATTCCTCCTGTTGATGTTGGAAGGAGGTGGAGATAATTCCCACCAGTGTAACTTAATAATTATTATTTTGGTGCACCAAGATATCTGAGAAAACACTGAACTAATTTGTCAGGTTACTGAAGTTTTTAGGGTATTTTCAGAGTCAATGTATTACAATTAATACTGTCTTGTTCTTATTTATTTATATATTTTTAAGTAGGCCCGTGGGGGTTTTTCACTTAAGAGCTTCAGAAGCTCTATTTAACACCCCTTTCCCTCCTTTTCCCAGATAAAGTCTATATATCCTTTTGTATTCTCGGCTCTGGAAAAAAACATTCCTTTCCTCCTAGATTAGTCATGTCATCTGTGCATCTTGCTTTTATGGTTATGGATGATCTTATTAAAGATTGCATGAGTGGATGTGAAGCAGCATGCATGGGTGCATCCGAGTCTTCTAGTTTTGTTAAATACTCTCTCTTGCCCCTTTCCAGAGATTTCTGCAACCTGGGATTTACTGGGCACCTGCAACAGGACTTGACTTTGAGCAGTTTATAATTCAGCTTTCATTCCATCCTTTCCTCACTGTGCTGCTGTCTGAAATTCTTGCTCTGTACCCGGCTGTGGCATAGTGAAGATGAGTCTTTCCTAATTCAGGTAGTTGAAGTCCAAAGGTTATCTGATTGCAGTAGCAGAGAGTTGCATGCTGAGTACAGAAACAGCCTGAAGGGAGAGTTAAACCTGTGGGTTCCATCTGCCCCAGCCCCATGCCTAGGTTATCCAGGCTGGATCTGTTTCAGAAGCATGTGCCTTGCACTACAGAGGAGGTGTACTCTCTGACTCTGAGTATGTGCTACATTCCTTTCTTAATTTCTGTAGAATGGTGTGATTGATTTTGATCCGGGACATCCCTGACATCTGTTTTGATATGATTGAATGAACAAGATTTCTAGTAGTATTAGCATGCTTTCTGTGTTGATACATTCAGAAATGGTCCCATATGGAAGTTAATGTTTGCTAATTGCTTCCTTCTCTCTGGCCACTGTACTAATTTTTTCTAGAAGAGACAAATTTTTAGTAGCTGCCGTGTCCGTGTGTTGATGGTGTAATTAGGATAATGTATTTCAATAATGTATTTCCATAATGACATGGTGGAGAAGGACTAGGTCTCTCTTTTGTAAGGGATTCTGGATAGATCACAACTGTTTGGTTTGGCAAGGACCTCTCTTGAATCTTTTATACATTACTGAACACAGAAGGAAACTCCCAAGTCTGCACTGAATTTTCACTGTCTATAAACCAAGAGCTGCTTCACGATGCCCTGAGCTGTTTCCTTTCTTGCCTGTGTGGTGATAACTGCTGTGTATGTGCATATGAGTGAGGCCAGAGCAGCCATGAGAGCAGGTAACCCCAGCCTTGCTCTCCACAGGTGCTTCCCCACCTGCACAGAGCAGCACAGCGTGGATGTGTCATGGACAGTGGAAAGGCCGTTCCACGTGAGCAGCACGTGCATTGTCTTAGCCAAACAACAGTGGGGAAGTTCTAAATTGTTTGAGTGGAAGGGATGGCCGGGTCATGACTCGAGTGGCACAAACTCTGACAGATTCGTTTCACTGCAGTCACCTTTGGGTAAAAGTAAAATCTTTCCCATTACTGTATTGGCAGTGAGAATGTAGAATCTGCACTTAGGTGTGGATTCTCTCAGCCTTCCTGCAGAAATTTATCCTTCCTAGTTCAGGAGTTAATTTCTTTCTCATTTTGATTTTCTCAGGTTCTCGAAGCCGGCACCAATGTTCTTGGATGATTCCTTCAGGAAATGGGCACGAATCAGGGACTTTGTACCCCCCTTTGGAATTAAAGGACAAGGTATGAATGAGACCTGTTGGAGAAGAAGGTGGTTCTGCAGATGTCTGCCCCATTTTGGTTTTCTGTTTTGAAAACTTAGGTGTTGCAGCTTTGCTGACAGCAGCTGAGAGTTCAAACTGACTTAAACTACCTTTAAGCCAGTATTTCTCTGAAGAAGAGGAAAGATGCCTTGTGGTTGACCACTGATATAAATCTTCATTTTCTTCTCATAGCATTTTATAGTTGGGCTAATTATTGACTTATATGACAAATAGGAAAAGTCTGTTGAGATGCTTTGGTGATGATTTGCAGTATGTCCTGTCCTTCAGCAGGAGCCGTGTCTCAGGTACGCCTTGGGAAGGCAGAGGTGATGCTGGTGGTCACTAGATGGGGGCCGGTAGCCCAGCCAGCAGATGATCTGTTCTGTGGGTGACAGGCTCCTGGCTATCCCACATGTGCTATCAAAGGCCTCTCTGGGTGAGTGGTGGTGAGCAGAAGGCTTGTGCTCACTGCAGTGATTTGCTGCAGACTTTCTGAAGTCCAGCATGTTTATTAAGAAGCGTTGGTTGCTTGGCATCAACTTGCAAGATTTTTATTCTGCTCACAAACTCACAGATAGAGATAGCCCCCATGGGAACCGAAATATCTGGTGGAGAAGGGGCAGCAGCCACAGAAGGCCTGGGTCTGTCTCTCTGCCTGGCCTGGAAGCAGGTGTGGCAGTTGTCAGAACAATCTCTGATGAAATCAAAAGGCTCTGCTGACAAATTGCTTTTGGCTTGCATCAGTTCCCTTCTTTGTTTTGTCCATTCCTTGTCCAGTCGGTCTTTTGCAGCTCAATAGGAAACTGATTGCTGTCCTCTCATTTAGCCAGCAAAGGACTAACAGTGGCAGCACAAGAGAGAGGCTGCGGTGACCACAGGAGGGCTTGTCCCCTTCTAACCAAGCACACAAGGTGTACAAAGCTAGGGCAAGCCGACTGGCCGTCCTGGAGGTGGGATTTGCAGATTACACATGATGTCAGCCAGACCTAACAAAAATCATTGCATTAAACGGAATCCAAGTGGAGAAATTCACCAAAAGGGAATGACGGAACAGCTCTGGCAGCCTTCTCCCTGGGTTTGCTGCCAGCTTGTATCACCACTGCAATGTTATGTAAATCTGGTGTTTTATATTGGATTTCCTCAGTTAGAAAGAGAAATGAGAAATTGCCATTATTTAAATGGCTGCGAGCTGAAGCCACGGGATGGAAACCGTTGAATAGGTTATTTTTTTAACACCCTCCTGGGACTGAACTTTGTGCCAAGTTTCAGTCTGGAGCAAGTTCTGTGTGTGGGAGGGTTGCATTATAAATCTGCGCAGCCCAGGATTTCTAATGGCCGCGCTGACAGGCTGTGAGTCCTCGCGATGCGAATGGCGCCCTTTCATGTTACACATCACTTGGAATTCTTGCATCAGTCTTTTCTGGCTGTCCCATGGGATGCATTCGGCCTCAGCCGAGTGATTGGATGATGGGATCAGCACCTCATTAGGGCTTTCAGTCAGGGCAATCTAATGATATCCAAAACAACTGACCCAGGCAGGCAGCGTGGAGCTCAGTCACCTGGTGGTGCGAGGTGAAGGCTCTCAGAGCTGGGATGTGCATGGGAAAACAAGTAGTCAGGGTGGCTCAGAAAGTGTGGAGAGATGTGGCTGTGTTGAAACAGACAGGGCAGGAGTTCTGCTCTGTGCATTAGGCAGCCCCGTGACACCATCAACTGGGGTTTCCAGCGTGCATCGCACTGGGAGGGGTGGTTGGTGCTTGTAGACAACGACTGTAGCTGAGATGGTAATGGAAAGATCTTGCTGAGAACTTTGGTGAATAACACCTGGTGTTTTAAAGTCCTGTGATCTATTCCAAGTGCAAAATGGCTTGTGTGTGTGTGTGTGAAATACAGCTACAAGATGAGCTTACTTACAATAATGCTGCATGTTTCAAGAAACTTCTAGAAACTATAGCTTTAAAGTACTAAAAGTTATGAAATCACAGGATTCTTAGCAGCTTTCACTTTTTAAAGTTTCTCTCTGTTCTTCGGGCTCTTACCTACATTTTGCTTTGCTTTGTCTCTGAATAAAAAGCTGAACAGAATCCTTTTTCACCCACCACTTGGTGTTTACTGGTCCAAGAAAGAACAATTCCAAGATTGCCAGAACGACTCTTTGCAATCTTCAGGGGAAAGCAGCTTTTGAGGAGCAGTGCCTACTGGGCTGCACTAATTTGGAGTAACACGTCTGTATAAATTACATGCAAAAGAGTAGAAATGGCTCCGAAATTTTCAGGGCAGGACTACTGCTCTTTAAAGGTTATCATATCAAGGAGAAGCCAGTATGCTGATCATTTTGACACAGTTCATCGAAGATCTTCGTTTTCTTCAATGAGAATCTGATTGCAAAGACAGTTCTTCCATCTCCAGATGCTACGAAGTACTCGGTAGAACACAGAACGTTTAACAGAGTTTCTTTGTGAGAGATTGCTCGCTCATTTACTCCACTGGTCATTTTCTGATTTGTCCATTAGCCCAGGCAAGGGGGCTTTATGGGCCATTCTCTCTCAGCAAGAGCATTTGTGTGTAGAAGCCGTCAAGCAGAATGTGGTCTTGAGTGGGAAAGTTTTTGGACTTTGCCTCAAATGCTGCTGGATCTGAAAGGGACTGTTGCAGCAGGAATTGCAGCAGTCAGATTGGAAACTGCTGCTGTTGTCAGTCAGTTAACAACCTTAGTGATTCCTTGTGTGCTGAATGAAAGAGGCACAGAAAATAGGCAGGTGGCAACCCTGCTGTTCGATGAGCAGGGCTTTTTGGGATGAGGCAACTGGCACGCAGTCTTGTGCAAACTCTGAACGGTGGTTGTGAGAGTCCTCTACAAGGTATTAGAAATAGATGAAGAGGAATTTAAGAGCAGAGGTCATACCTTTTTCTTAATCTGTCTTAAATGGGCAGAGTTTTAGATCACCAAAGATTTGGATGAAGGCTTGATCCTAATTACTTGATCCCAATACTCAGCAACCTGGGACAAAAGCAGAGCTGAGAGCTGTCAGGAGTGTTGGGGCTGATCCGGCAGACTGAAGGTGTCATTGCATTCATCAGAGATGTTTGTAGCCCTTGTGGAAACTCTGGCTTTCTCTGTGTGCAGAGAATAGGGGAAGTAATAGAGATGGAGAGGTGTGAAGAGGTGTTAGGTTTTGATGCCATGAAGGGTCACTACCAGTATCTAGCTTGGCTTTCCATGCAACAGTGGGTCTAGGTTTTGCCCAGTGATTTCTGCAGCTGGCTGTGCAGGTTATCTTTCAGAATCTGGATCAAGATTTTCTAAATGAAGAATGACTGTGTTGACAAACAGGCCAGTGTCACGTCTGACTGCAGTTACTTTAAAAAAAACGAGATGCTTTTGCCACGTCGAGCTTGTTGTCTCCTACTATGTGACTTACAGAGTCTGGAAATGGGATGGGCCACTGTAAGTGCTTGGAAATGATGACTGCATCGCTATTAATAAATAAAATGGTTGTCCTCTGGTCCTGAAGGCTGTTGAGCTCATTGTTCAAACAGATTAACTCCCTCCCCCCCCCCCCCCCCCCAAAACAGAGTGGTTATGTCCAGGCTTCCTATCAAGAAAGGTCACTGGCCTCTATTAGCCTGTGAATGCGTGAGAATTTTAGAGGAGGATATTTGTTGGCCCTGGTGAACACATCTGGGACTGTGCTAACCTTTTAATAGTATGGACTTGTGTGGGACAGCGTGGGCCCGTGCCCTGCTGCCAGTTTGTTTATTACTGTGTGTATAGCCAGAGTGGGGAACGTGGTGAAATTGGTCAGCCCTGAGCTGTCAAGAAGAGCAAACTGTAACAAGAAGTTGGAACTCTAAAAGCTATAAATGTCAGAATGTCCTGTGGGGGACAGCTCAGGCTGCCGAGCACCCTCCTGTGTCCCAGGCTATTGTTTTGGCATTAACTGGGATGTTGGAGTGCCTCCCATGTTTCACCATGTGCAAGGATCTCATTTCCTTGTAGGAACTCTTCTTTCCCAGCACCCACCAAGCTTGGTGTTGCAGCTTTTTTTCAGTGAGGGGCGAGGAGACTGCGGCGATCTTGGGCTCTTAACTGAGTGATGTGGAGATTTTTAAAAAATTTAAATTGAAATTTCTTCTTTAGCAGTGCACTGTCAGTGTAATTATGGGGGTATGAATATGCACGTGCTATCCACATAGTTATGGAGACCCTCTAGCACATACACTGCTTTCAGGGTTAAATTTGTCAATGAATAAGCAATGGAAAAATCGTTTATAGTGCTAGTGAGATTATTAATCCCAGAGGACCTCCTCCCCAAATTTACCTCTGTAGCTAAAGCAAAAGGAAAGAGTTATTTGGAGAAGGGCAACAAACAAGACTGGAGAAATACCTGACTATTAATAGAAATTTCTCAGTACATGTGGTTTGAAGAATATAAAAGGCTTTCATAAGAAAGAGTAGCTAGTATCTGGCATCTCCTCCATGTAATGACGATGGAAGAGTTGCTGTAGTTGTTTTTTTTTTTTTAAACCTAAGTGAAAACATATGGCACAGCATGCACTAAAAAACTAAACAGACATGATCCATGTAGTATATCTTCCATGCATTTAGTCAGTAGTTGTGTCAGTGCTTAGCAATAATTATAGGTCTTCACTTCCACCCTTGTTCCTGCTCAGTTGTTTTCAGCAGAGAGGCTGCTTTGTTGGCCCTGAATCAGTTTGCCTTTGAAGGTGATAGTTATTTCTTAGGGGAGTGATTCTCTTGTCACCGTCTTACAGGATTTCCCTCCCGCCAGGAATCTAGAAAGCAATTTCTTCCCCGTGGCGATAAGGGAATATCAAGAACACGTTTCAAGTGCTACAGTTTTTAGCAAATGTAGTACAAATTGCTGGCCAGGAGGCTTTGAATTTTCCTTTGGTACAGGAGGGACATCTGGAATCGGTGACAAAGGAATTACGTCTTTGTCCAGACCACCAATGCTA